TAAAGGAAAAAAATCATTCATCTTAGGACACCTGAATAACTAAAAAAATAGTAAGTGAACTTTATATTGTTAATTAAAGAAAAAATAACCCTTCATAGAGAATAATTTTCCTTTGTGTTATGTAATTATTAATCGTATATTCATTTGAACAGAATGTTATTAATTCTCCTTGGCAATGTGCTTTAGGTCTTGAATATTTGCTCACCTTTCTTAACAAGCAAGAATATAAAAAGGAGCACCACTATGATACACATCTGGTCCTCTTGATCATTAAAAATAACAGAATAGCAAGCATCAATCAATACACCAACGTTAAAAGGCAACAACATATAACTGCAAGGAAGAACAGCTGTTGATCTTTGTGAACTATAATTGGTACAGACAACACTGCAGATTTCCTTACCTGTCTGAGTAAACATTGTAGCATCTTATCCTGTTAGATCTACTCAGAACCTGAATACAGGAATCATGCACTGAGTTTAGTTAATGAGGCAAAAAGTACTGTCCAAAGTGCAGGAACCCATAGCAACTAATAAAACATCATTCTGAAGCAAGCCTGTCACAAGATGCACTGCTGAAGAACTGCTGAACCAAATTCATGTGGACACTGACAGACAAGACAGAAACAAGCTACTCTAACTACAGGAGGTCCAATGCTTCTATTTTGGGGGGCATACTGTAGTAATTTATTGCTGATTGTTGTTTAGGTGTTATTGCACTTTGCTGACTCTTCCCTGATGGAAGTATAACTATAACAAAAAAAATGTAATTTGATAACTGTATGTGGTTAATATATGATATGAAACAAAAGCATTAAGGGTCCATGTACACTGACTTAAAAAAAAGTTGCTCCTACAGGAGTGTAGCATTTTGCCTGAAGAAGCAACTAATTTTTTTTTTTTCAAGTCCGCAAACGTGCAGATAATGAAAAAACCCATAAGTGAATCACAAAAAAAGTGCAAGTGTAAAACACCACACGAAAAAGTGCACTTAGGGGTGTGCTTTGTCCTTTCCCCGAAGGGGATGGACCACTACCCTGATCCCCCGGTGCACGAAGCTCCTGACAGGGACAAGGTTCCCATTTGGTCCTCCTGGCCAAAATGCCTGGTGGACCACCGTTCCTTGTGGCCAGCCGAAGCCAGCCACTCAGTACTTGGTCAGGGGGCTCTCACGAAGAGAAAACCCCCCAGGGACAGGGGAGGAAGGAACCAAAAGGCCACACATCCTCCCCCTAGACTTCAGGGCAGGCCCGAGGACCCACACCCTCCATCCTGTGAGAAAAACACATACATAAGTAAGAAAAAGTGACAAAACGTGGGAGAGTGAATAAATTACATAAATAAAAAATAAAAAAGTGGTCGTGCCAAATTGTGCACAGACCAGGCCCTGAGGCAACTAATGTTATGCTATGTGTCCATGCACATTAGGTCATTAAGTGGTATATTTTAAGTTCAGTGATTAGAGGCAGAGAAAAAAACCCTTCTGACTTGCATTTTTGAGCGTTTTCTGGTAAAAAAAGATGCTAAATGCTCCTAAACGCTGTTAAACACTCCTAAACATTCCTAAATGCTACTCCTAAGCGCTAGTACAAAACCACTCAAAATTAGCGTTTTTTTTTTCTGCCAAGAGCACTGGCATTTTTTTAAGCCAGTTTGCATGGACAACAAGTATATTTATTCATTATTGTGTTTAGCATGTCTTTATTTATATTTTCCTCCACAACTATAAGGAAGCCAAATAGATAGATAGATAGATAGATAGATAGATAGATAGATAGATAGATAGACAGACAGACAGGCAGGCAGGCAGGCAGACAGACAGACAGACAGACAGACAGACAGACAGACAGACAGACAGACAGACAGACAGATAGATAGATAGATAGATAGATAGATAGATAGATAGATAGATAGATAGATAGATAGATAGATAGATAGATAGATAGATAGATAGATAGATAGATAGATAGATAGATACTGTAGATAGATAGATAGATAGATAGATAGATAGATAGATAGATAGATAGATAGATAGATAGATAGATAGATAGATAGATACTGTAGATAGATACATAGATAGATAGATAGATAGATAGATAGATAGATAGATAGATAGATAGATAGATACTGTAGATAGATAGATAGATAGATAGATAGATAGATAGATAGATAGATAGATAGAGAGAGAGAGATAGTGAGAGAGAGAGATAGATAGAGAGATAGATAGATATTTATAGATAGATGGAGAGAGAGAGAGAGAGAGAGAGAGAGGGAGAGAGAGAGAGAGAGAGAGAGAGAGAGAGAGAGAGAGAGAGAGAGAGATACAGTAGATAGATAGATGATAGATAGATAGATAGATAGATAGATAGATAGATAGATAGAGAGAAAGAGAGAGAGAGAGAGAGAGAGATAGAGATAGAGAGATAGATAGATTTATCTTTTATTCACATATAAACCATATGAATAAAATGTGACCTTGATCACAACCCATAATAGTGTTATACTTAGTTACAATTCATAGCACTGTTATTGAACATCCTGGTCTTTATGTAAATGTAATGAAAAATATAAATAGAGGTATGTAGAGCCGGAAAAAAAAAAAAATATATATATATATATATATTTTTTTTTTTTTTCTTGTGGATTAACCACATACAGCTCTCAGAATATAATCTTTTTAATCATAGAGAGCCTTCAATCAGCCTTGTTTATTAGGAAATGTCATACTATAATACAGTAATTCATTTGTATATTGACAGCTGATAACACTTTCTGTACATTTATATGAAGGATTCCAGACCTTCGCAAGCTATTAATGAAACTCAGTTTCAAGTCATGTTGTCAATGACAGGCTGACAAGTTAAACCAAACAAAACTGAATCTATACAAAGGATGTCATTACTAAAAAAAAAATAAAGAAGCTAGTCACTTGATGCCAGATGGAATGGATAGAATAGGGTCTCAGCAATGCAGTCACACTAATAATTATGTTGTCTTTTTATACCTGTCACTCGGCTGGTGGGTCATTCTAAATCTGTCAGAAATCGCAAGACCTGAAATGTGCAATTGTCTCTACGAGATCCTTTCCCTTCCCATCCATTCCTACTGCTTTCTCACTCTTGCTTCTCTCTCTGCCCTATTATAACCACCATGACATTAATACATGCTGCACTATTCTCCTAGGTACAATTACAGGAGAAGGAAGACAGTACGATCGGCATGCACTAGAAAACCAAGCCACATGCTGCACCATATACCGTTACAAACAGAGGAATTCTCCTCCTGTATACATTAAATCTACGGATAAAAAAGAAACTATAACCCACATAGAAATTTATTTTAGCTCATTATGCTACTTACATTTTTAAACACTTCACTCATGTGTGGGCCCTGATAGGATGCATTGTCTCAGCATTTAAACAACCTTGCAATTTACTGCTGGCAGAGGTAAAGAGTGTCAAGTGTCTGCCCAAGCGATCGGAAAATGAGACAGTACACAAAGGTTACTGTATCCACAGGAACAGCAGAATGTCCTATTAGAAGCTACCAGTTAATGACTATGACAGAAGCAACTGCAGTAGCGCTTGTATTTCCAGCACAGAAACATGTAGTTAAGCAGTTCCCAAGAAAACATCTGCTTTTTATTTCATTAGATGTGACTAATCAGCTACTGCTTTCTGCCAACTGCAGCAAGCTTTATAATTAGTTACTTACATTATTGTTACTGCTGTTTAATGTCCACTTGTGAAGTACCCGAAACATCGGAGCTCACTAAAAACAGTTAGCGTTATAATAAACTGCTACGTAAATAAGCCAACAACAAAACACCTTTGTAAACCAGTTGAGAAAATTAGATTTTTTTTTATTCCGTACTGGCTGCAAAGCACTTGACACTTTTCCTAGATTGGCGCCATGGTAGAAAATGACAAAAATGACCTTATTTATTAAGAGCGGTGTGCAAAGTGCTTGTTATGGGCTTCTTCGTTTTTTACATTGTTGTTGCTCTTTGTGCTAGCTTGTTAAAGTGAACATGCGAGATTTTAAACTTAAAAGTAAAAGTCCTTCCAAAGAGCAGGCATCACAAGGAGCCTACTGTTACCTTTGTTAGCTGGAAAGCCTATTATGTGGGCCCTTTTGATCCTGGTTTCACAGGTACAGGAACATAGATTTAACTTATATTGATATGTTATATTGTATTAAAAGAAGTTAGCACCAATTACATAAGCTATACATACAATTTTATTCAATAAAAAAAAGAAATAAAATTCACATTTTGATAGTGCTATGAAATTTGTTAAACCAGATAATCCTGCACTACTCCCAAATTACGTCAACTCATCCAGAGATGGTAGATCTTCCCAGTATGGCATTAAACTCTTGTTTCTACCTATGCATTTCACCACACCGGACTTCATCAGGGCCGTGGGTCAGGGAATGTCCTACTATGATCTTTGTTCTGTCCTTGCTACACGTTTCCCTATGTGCACCTTGACATGCACCCAAACCATCCTATTCTGCAATAAGACAGACTGAATGTAATTTTGAAGCTTTAATAACCACTTGCCTACCGGGCACTTATACCCCTTCCTTACCAGGCCAATTTTCAGCTTTCAGCGCTGTTGCCCTTTGAATGACAATTGCGCTGTCATGGAACATTGTACCTATATGAAATTTTTATCATTTTTTTTCTCACAAATAGAGCTTTCTTTTGGTGGTATTAAATCGCTGCTGGGTGTTTTACTTTTTGCGCTATAAACAAAAAAATAGCAAATATTTTGAAAAAAAAAAGTTTCTTTGTTTCTATTATAAAATTTTGCAAACAGGTAATTGTTCTCCTTCACTGATGTGTGTTGATGATGCTGCACTGATGGGCACTGATAGGCGGCACTGATAGGCAGCACTGATGGGCACTGATAGACGGCACTATTGAGGTGGCACGGATAGGCTGCACTAATAGGTGGCACTGATGAGCTGGCACTGATGATGGGTACTGATAGGCGGCACTGCTGGGCGGCACTGACTGGCGGCACTGCTGGGCTGCACTGGTGGGCAACGGGTGGGTGCAACTTCTGGCCACAGGTGGGCAACATTGCTGGGCACAGGTGGGCACTGGGGGGTGGAACTGCTGGGCACAGGTGGGAGACATTGCTGGGCACTTCTGGGCACTGGTGGGCGGCACTGCTGGGCACTTGTGGGCGGCACTGCTGAGCACTTGTGGGTGGAACTGGTGGGTGGCACTGCTGGGCACCGATCATCAGGGAACTGATCATCAGTGCCCTGATGATTGGTGCCTATCCCTGCTCTGACAATTGCCAGTTCTCGGCAGTACTTTCCTCATGCTCTGGCAGCGTGAGGAAAGTGGAGCCGAGAACCGGCAATTGCATTTGCCGGTGATCAGCATGTCCGTAGGACACAGCAATCACGTAGATCGCCAGGGGCGCGCAGGAGAGTGCGTTCTGGGAGGACATCAAATAACGCCCTCCCAGAACTGGCCAGCCACAGTGCAGCCATCAATTGACTATCTGCGGGCGGCAACTAGTTAACAAAACAGGGTAGGTGAAACTATTAGGGAACAACCTATGAGGAATACAAACCATCAATATATGAAATATACAGAAAACACAATGAATAGTTAGGCTATAGTTGGCGATAAGTGATTCTCACTATCGTTGCTGCCGTTAGGGGATGCAAGCCTTAGTCCAGCTCTGATAGATGGTTCCTTTTGTCATAGTTCTTCAGTTGGAGTCTGAGCTCCAAAAATCATCTCTTTCCTTTCTCTCAGAAGTATGGAATTTGTATTAACTCTTAACTAAACAATCTCTAGTTTAACCCCTAGACGCCAAGCGCACGCAAATATGCGGCCTCTTGACGTCTGTGCCTTGACGTCGAGTGGCCACATATGTGCGTACCATTTGAAAATACATATGTGCTGAGAGCGCGCCCTGCGCGCTCCCAGCACATATGTCCGAGACTCACGGAAAATCTCCCCTTGCCATCTGGACGTTTTCCGATCATGTGACTGCCATGACAGCGAATCACGGTGGTCACATGACCTTATAACCCCGCCCTACCTTGCCTCCTGGCTTCTGAAACTCTTAAAGGGCTGGACTGCGCTGGTGCAAAGGGGTTAAGTAAAGCAGTAAATGTATTACCGGCTCCATCTAGTGGTCACATTTGCTATAGCAGGCAGGACAGGCGTAATATATTCTCCTGCTGGAGGCAGAACAATCTTTATCCACATTGTTTTATGTTATATACACCTTTTATTCATCCTTCACTATATATCAGTGCTCTTGATCTTCTGAGGCTACTTTGCAGTCACATCCTCTTTATCGTATATCCATGCATTCTAGCATAGCATTTCTCAGAGCATGTTGCCTGATGCTAACAACAGTGTAACCGTGCACCATGCCTATGTAATGTGTGTTGAAATTGCCACTTGCAATCTCTATTGAACTCCCATGACAGCGCAGAAGCACAACTGGTAGACAAGAAAACAGAGTTGTCACCCTCTATGTGGACATGCCTTAACACTGAACTTCATGCAGGATCACCAGATATTATTTTAATGAAATCTGTGTTTTTAAATTACATTTACATTTTGAAGCTCTTATGAGGTTTAATGATGGGAATTATGTGAACGTTCACTTTGGAAAATAAACAGATTCTCTTCCTTTAGTAAATCGATCACAATTGGTCAAGATGACATGCCAGTTAACTGGCATTTTCAGAAGGAAATCAAATAGCAACCTTTGTATTTCTCATAAAACAGGTTTACTTTAACAAGTCATGATCAATTATTTCATTGTTTAATTTTTTTTAAATAAAATGGTGAATTCTGCATAAATACAGATAATGTGAATAATTACATTTTTGAGAAAAAAAGGTTTGTGAACTCTTAGGAATTTTCTGGATGTCTGCATAAACATTTCCTCATATGGGATTTGCATCAAAGTCATGATAATAATTATAAAGAGTGTCTTAATTAACAAACAGCACATATATTTAAAATATCATATTTTGCTGAACAAATGGTTTAAAAAGTCAAGGTCATACATGAAAAGTATGTGAATATCTAGGATAATTGCAATAAAAAGATGGGCTGTTCGAGTTAGGAATATCTCAAGTATCAAAAGCTCTAGTAAGTTCAAGTGTGCATTTAGCAAGCACTAAAAAAAAAAAAAAAACTCTGCTGAAGTGCAATATGGGCTGGTAAAAATACAGAAAAGCTCATAATACTGGAAATTGTTACAAAAGGTCTTTACTGACAAATATACATGATGAAGATCAAAACACATTTAAGATCTGGGCATGTTCAAAACGTAGCTCTTTTTGGACAGAGGTGCATCGCATTATGCAAAAATTCACCGATCAGGAATTACACCTGGAACCGGCCCTGTGCCTATTGCACCATCATAATATTGCCAGGTCGGTGTACAAACACTGGATTATACCACTTTTGATTAATGCAACTTGACGCTGCATCCCAATGTTTTAGAAAACACAACAATCACCCTCTATAGGGTTCTGGCTCACCAAAGTACAATAAATTAATGATATGACCATTTGGAAACTCGGGCACTGCACGAGGACCCGGGGTCAGTAGGGGGCCCCATGAGATGCCCCTAGTACCTTTTTCATAGGCTTTTTTGAGTTTGGGCAAGGACACAGGGCCCCATGATCCCCTATTGCCCGGGGGCCCCATGAGTTGTCAGTCTGCCCCTGAAGATGAGACACATTCCTGAAAAAAAAGGTTTTACTGGCATAATTTCTCTTACTCAACTGAATGTTCAGCTTTGTTAAAAGACAATGAAAAGGTCCAGTAGAGGGGGGAAACTGTAGCCCTTCTCTTTCCCTTTTTCCATCCCCACCTCCCTTTTTATCCTTTAGTAGCATAATACCAACTCTCATGGAAGAGACCATCAGTCTATTATTATTATTATTATACAGGATTTATATAGCGCCAACAGTTTGCGCAGCGCTTTGGTCTATGGTGAACTATGTGTCCAACGTTTACAGGCAACTTCCTAGAGGTAGATAACTAGCCAGACATTGGCCTTCACAGCCTTGACACATGTTTTATGATGTGACTTCATGTACCAAAATGTTTCATATGGTGTGGATTACACCTAGGTATCAGTTGGGTGTAGCACAATCCTCCTTTGTTTTTGAAATTCCTGAGCACATACACTTTTGTTGGCACAATTGCACATCCAGTGTCCAAGAACAGACCAGCGTTGACAGATTCTGACTCCATGCTATGGTACACCCACTTTAAACAGATGGGACTGAAAAAAACTTTTTTTAGATTTGATTACTAGGTGACAGCAGCACGAACAAAAAAAAAGGGATTTCAGTGTTCTTCAGCACTGCGATCTAGTTTCACAAGTGACAGAATAGCTTGAAATAAACCCAAAAGAACATTATTTAATAACACTGCTGTTCAAAATTCAATAACCTACGGCAATCAATGAAAAAGCATCAGACTAAGGCAATAATAGCAGAATTGGTTTCTATGGGCATCTGCATACAAACATTTCCTCATTAAATATGCCCTAATTTGTTATATTTTTTTTTAAAAATGTTTCTTTTTTTGTGACCAATCTCTAGTAAACGTATTCAGCTTACAGGGGATACAGCACACTCTTAATTAAACATGCTTGTATAGTAAGGTGACAGAGAAATCACCTTTCTACAGCTAATTACAGCGGTATGAGACATGCATGCTGAAAGCAATACTCTGTTCATTTTCTTTCCACTGTAAAGTTATTAGGCAATAATTCTATAGAAAGCATTTCAGGAAGGCTGCACAATTATAAATTCAAGCACTTTATAGGTTAATAAATCTTGTTAATTTACTTGTCCTATTCACTTGCTAGTCCTGTTACCACAGTGCAAAATATACAATAGCAAAGGTAAGAAAAATCAATATTAATATCTGTCCAATGAAAATGAATAAATGTGAAGCTGTTCATAAGTAGCCCATGCAGATTTTAAACCTATCTAATGTAGGTCATTTAAAACAATAAGTATTTCAGGTTACACCATTTATTGGATTTTTACTGTACTTTCAGGATTTTCCATTAGAAATAATTTTATTTCAGTTTTCACAGGGGTTCTTCTGGGCATATTTTATTAATTTCTGTTGAAGCAGGAGAGCAGTGAGCACATAGCACATGACACGATGAAATTCTGGTGATGGGTGGTCTACAGCGCTGGCTATATGCAGCTCAAATTTTGGGAATTCTTGGGAATCGGATGAATTTTGAGCCATGGGTGGACTAGGCAACATCACCTAGCTCAATAAACTTTGGACAGCTTAACCGCCATCTGTCTCCGGTTTTCTATTTGTGTTTCATAGGATTGGGCAGGTATTCTGCTCAGCAAGTTCAAAATGACTAGAGCAGGGTGTCAAAGAGAAATCTGCAGGAGAGAATATCTACCCTATTCATGGACGCATGTCTTTTTATAACTGTAGAAAGAGTCCTAATCTGGCCATACATCGTGAATTTCAGCTGATTCCTTCAAAACTGGCTGAAATTCAAACTATGGGTGGCCCCACAACCCCCATCCAGGTTGAAAAATGTTGATATAAAAATTGGCTAAGCAGGGTGGAGCATTATCAGACTAAACATTGACTGCATCCTATCAGATGCAGCTGCTGTTCTAGAATGACACAGGATTCAGACAGCTGCAGGAGCTGTAGAATACAATAGCCAGCAGAGGCGATTCCTCCATCCACGCTGTTAGCGTGGACAGGAGAATCAATTGATTTTCTTTTGTTCAGCCCACAGGGTCAATGAGAGAAAATGGGGCTGTTTATAGTTAATTTTGCACTTTCTTATTACAGAATCAGTTTAACACTCTGGCACAGCCTTTGTCATACCGGGTTTCTGTGGAACCCTTGGGTCCTTCCAGAGGCTGCCAGTGGTTCCTTGAGCAATGGGCTATTCCTGTCTCTCAGACTAATGACACCAATAATTTTTTTAGCTATTTGTAAGGGGATGGGGTTATTCCCAATGGCCACAAATGTAAGGCGCATTTTTCCCAGTGACCATCAGCATAATATACTATGAGTTGTCTATCTGTAAGGGGATGGGGTTATTCCCAATGGCCACAAATGTAAGGCGCATTTTTCCCAGTGACCATCAGCATAATATACTATGAGTTGTCTATCTGTAAGGGGATGGGGTTATCCCTAATGACCACAAATGTAAGGCACATTCTTCCCAGTGACCATCACGCTAATGTACTATGAGTTGTCTATCTGTAAGGGGATGGGGTTATTCTCAATGACCACAAATGTAAGGCGCATTTTTCCCAGTGACCATCAGCATAATATACTATGAGTTGTCTATCTGTAAGGGGATGGGGTTATCCCTAA